CCAAAAAACGTCTTCGCACACGAGAGGCCGGAAAGGAGTTCGCGAAGAATATCGACCGCGAGGTCAAAAGAAAAAAACCCGGCAAAACCCCGCGAGGCCAGCGCGCAGCAGTCCCTCCCAATCCAGATGGACGCAAGTTCGAGGCCGCCCAGCGCCCTTACCGGTTCAACGTACTCGCGGCACTAAAGAGTATCCCCGCGGCGGATCACGGCATGTAGCGACGCTCCTCCGGTTATCCAGACCTAACCGCACGGGAGGCCCTACAAGAGGGCGCTGGCCGACGGCAGAGTGCGTTCTCGCTGACGCCATTTCTCAAAGAAACAGGGACAGAGCGCAGGGCTGTACGACTTGCTGCCAAGTTTCAGAGAGACAAGATCCCCTGCTAGTTCACTTTCAACGACCCTGAAGGATATGCCATCATAGAGGACTACGGTCCCATGACCGGCCGCTGTACTTCACAGGATACTGTCGGCTTCGGCGAAAGTGGATCGATCCCAGTTGATGCCGGTGGTCTGAAGCTGAGGCAATTTCGTGCCCACTTGAAGTTAATGCAACACTTGGGGATACCGTCGATAGCGCCTTAGCCTCGATCCGTCGACTACCATCTTTCGGCTTCAACGCCACAGACTCGCACTCCCCGGCAAAATCCGGCCTGAAACGTCGGATATGGCGACATGAAGATGGAGTGACGTGGTTTCTACTAGTCATCATGCCGAACCCTCCTACGCAATATACTCCTGGGTGCGTCCGTGGATTCATGGTAAGCCGGATCGTTCCAGTCAACACTACAGCGCAGTGGCTTGAAGTACGTAGACGACTACGAGCGGTAAGAACAGTAGTGGCCGGGACAAGCACCCCTTTAAAGGCGTCGAGAACTACTTCGCGGATTCATCTGCTGTAACCAGGACCGCGACCACTGTTAGGCGTCGCAAAATGATGAAGAGATAATCCAAATACAGCTCAAGAAGAAATCATACCAAAAAAGGCAGAAAGCACAAGTCTTGACTGTACCTCGCCGTACAAAGACAGACTTGACTGTCTCGCCGCGTCGAGGACAGTCCTTTACTGTCTCACCCTGCGAGACAGTTTTACTGTCTCTCGGGGCGAGACAGACTTTTAATGTCTCGCCCACGGCGAGACCAGTCTTTACACTGTCTCGCCCAACGCGAGACAGTCTTTGCTGTCCTCGGCCGTGCGAGACAGAATTTACTGTGCTCGGCACGTGAGATAGTTTTCAGATGGTCAAAACCGCCTTTGTAACTGCCCCTAACGTACGCACTAGACTGTTCAAGGAACGTGGGAAACTGTCGTGGCGAGAATCACGTGGATAACTGTGCAAAATAACGGAGTTTGAAACGTGGGAAGGCAGTTAAAACGAAAACTGCCTGGCGGTTACTGTTTCCGAGACAAGTATTTATCTGTCTCGCGGGTCGAGACAGCAAACACTGTCTCGCCCAGGCCCGCGAGGACAGCAAATACTGTCTCGCCCGGCCGGAGACAGCAGATGCTGTCTCGGCAGAGCACTGTTCATGACGGACCAGAGGGTTATAAATACCCCCCGAAGGGAGCCATTTGCAGAGGAGGATTCGGGCAGAGAGATCCGGGGCTGATGATTGTGAGCACTTCAGAGCAAATCCAGAGCAAGAGAGAGAGGCAGAGGTGTTGATCTTTACGCGCAATCCTTGAAATTAAGCTTTGACTTGATTTCAAGAAGAACCGATCTAATCTATACATCGATAAGATATCGTTTCAATTCTCGACATTCGATAAACGAAGTCAGAATCATAAACGCCTCACGGTTCAATCAGAATCATGTGACTTGGTGGTCCACGAGTCAAAGCGCTCCCAGGCACAGGCAAAGATCCAGCCACGAAAGCAGTGAATCCAAACAAGCGATCCTGCAGTTTATTTTCTCAGAGTTGTAATTTTCGTTTTGTTGTGTAAAAGAGTCTTATAAAAAGCTGTTTTCTTTGAATTTATTGTGATTCGACCGAAGATATAATGAATTCGACAACAAGACGGCAAAACTTTTGACGAAAACAAACTGGCGACCGGCACAGTGGGAGCCAATCGTCTCGCTGTCTGAGAGCCGTCGTGTCGCAGGCCGATCAAGATTCCAGTTGAATCCAGCTGGTCGAATAGGAATTCGACCAAACCAAGTTTGAGGAATATTCTCTCATCATCCTCTTTCAGATCTTCAATATCAACTCGCCAATAACAAGAGGATCTCACGAATTAGAGGAAGACTTACATGCGAAAGGAAGGCACAAAAATGAAGATTCTCGGCTGAATTGTTGCTGAGAATTTCACTCGGCAATACCTCTGCTAACAATGGCTGCTTACTAGCTTAAAGAGTCATCGAATCAAAAGCGCCGGCCGGCATTTGACGAAAAGAGCTCGGTCAGAGACAACGTGCAACGCGCAGTGCCTCGCCAAATGGCTTAAAGCCTTGGAACAAACGCGAAGGGGTTCGTTAGCCACGAGCGGCGGGACACTAGAGTCGAGGAGACATCGAGTGGTTCAAGTTTCTCACAACCAAATCACT